CATGTACCTTCCTCTCTCAGCTCCTGCAGACTAGCAGCAGCAATTAGCAAACACCTGATGGAACTGCGTATGTGCTGTGTTTTTATCATACAAACAACAATTCCCCTAATAATGGTTGTAAACAGCACCAATAGACAGCATGAAGAAGCATTGATGTGATGATGTGCTGGAAAAAGTAGAAGGTTCTTAAAGAAAAATTGGTGTCTGTTTCATTACAGCCATCATTACCGATAGCTGTAATGAAACAAACACTAGAATAAAAAAATAAAGAAATGTTCAGATCCAGAACATTTCTTTATTCCAAATATCCAACTGTACGTATGAATTAAACAAAAACAAGAAAATGCTAAATGTCGAAGCTTGCAGCGCACGGACACTGATGGGAGTGTGTTTAATGTGGAACTGCATGTTTCTCAAAAACATATGGCAAGCCAACATTCTTAGGAAGTTATCTCATCTCAGATAACAGAGTTGTTGTCCAGAAGAGCCATCATAAACACACGCAACATGACTATCCCGCTGCACTTTCTTCTCAGTCCCTTCGTTTCTGAATAAAAAAATGAAAGCATCCATGATGCAGTTAAGGAACTCTATCATTACCTTGCTTGTTATAAAACAAAAGGTATAAATGTCTGGAAAATAAATATGACGCCAAACCCGTGATGATCTTTATCATGTCATATTGTCTCTCCTTCCCTAAAACAGCAAAAGGGAAACACAAGACGTGTCATTTTTTTTCTTCTAATTGATGAATACTACAGTCAGACGTCAGACTCTGTGTTGTAACTTCACTAATTATGTCAGCACCTAAAAGCTTTGTGACTATGGCAACCTAGTGAAATAATAAACACCGCCTCTTCTTCACTTTCTGCCTGCCGACAGTAAATCACAAGATGAGTCATCAGCAGTGGGGAACACACACAGTGAAACACACAGACAACCCCAAAAACAAGAAAAAAGAACACAGACACACATGCAAGCAAGTTGAGTAAAAAATACTCTGAATGAACCTGCAGGAACAACATAAGAAATACTACAAGACCAAACTGTTCCTGCTTCTTTCAGTCAGACCCACAAACTGAACGGATTTAATGGAGAGTAATGAGCATCAGCGTGGGCTGTTTGTGCACACAAAAACAACCCAGCATTTTCACCTGGATGCTATTAGCTGTCGTTTGATTTCTAATATCAACCACATGAGGTGATAGTTAGGCTTACTTGTGCACAAACCCACACATGCACGCAGACACATGGAGGCAAAGAAACCCACCGCCCCAATTCAAAGCAGAGGGACGAAACGGCCGGGAAAAGCGTCGGCTCCTCCTCTTACTGTCGGCAGAAAATCTACATCACAGGCACGCATATACAGCGCTGCAGGCAGTAAATTTTAACTTTTTCATCTGTACTACCTGGCAAAAGTATTCACATCACTTAATATCCTTCAGATTTTCCCACATCACAGGCGCAGCCCTCACTGTATTTTACAGGGACTTTATGTGACACACAACACAAAGTACAGAATCTGATCAATGGAAGGAGAAGGAAAAGGCTACATGGTTTCTAATAAATCAATAGCTGAAAAGTGTGGCGTGGATTTATATTAAGCCTCCTTCAATCAATACTACAGAAAGCCTTTTTGCGGCAATTACAGCTAAGGGTTATTATAAAGTTTCAGCTTTACTCATAAAACTTAAGTTTTTGCTTGTTTTTCCAAGAAAAAAATTCCCAAGCTCATTCATATTGGACAAAGCACCACTTTCAAGCTTTGCTACATTTTCTCAGTTGAAGTCTAAACTTTGACTAGGCCATTCCAACTCTTAGATATGCCTGGAGAAATAAGCACATCTTGGCTGGATATTTAGAATCACCTTGTATTTTCCTGTCAGTTGTGACACATATTGAAGAAGGACATTGACAGAGCAAGACGCTGCCACTACATCACTGTCCTCAATATTATTTTCACCTTGAACTCAACATCTTCCCACCAAGAAACATGTTTTTTTTATTCGACACATAGCATCTTGGAAGTAGGTCTCGACTGGCCGTCTCATCTTGGCCACGTCGTTGTGGGTTTGTAGTTTTGCCATACTCTTTCCAGTTTCCAATTTTTGGATTAAACAGAGATTTGTGGGATGTTCAAAGCTTGGGAAATAGTTTTTTATCCTAATCTTGTTTGAAATGTCTCCACAGCCTGACTCTTGCTTTGTTTCCTAGTCTTTATTGTGATGTTCTTCGAGATTAAATTACACATGTGGACTTTGCTAATTAGGAGGTATCAGAATACAGAAGGCTGTCTACAAATACATGCCATTTTCAAAATTTTTGCACATAATTGTGTTAAAATCTAAGTATCATTTTGCTTCAAACTCTTGTATTTCAAGACTCTTAAAAAACTACAATAAAACACATTTTGTTTTTAATGAGACAAGATATGAAGACATTGAGGCGATATGCGGTGCAACTCAATAGTTCCTCACCAGAATATTTTGAGTCATGAGAAAACATCTGATGAGTCACAACAAGATTAAAACATGTGTGATCCTGGAATTAGTTTAGCACTGCTACTAGTTAGTTATCTTCAGCACTGAACTGATTTCATAAAAGTCTTTTTTCATCAAAAACAAAACAAGAAGAATAAAAAGCTCCATTGGACTAATTACATCAAACCCAGCTGACCTCTGTATCATTTTTCTATCGCTTTGAACTGATCGACTGTGAAGATTATTCATCTAAGCCCGTCTGCTGTGATTTGTCCGATACGCCCTCTAATGGGTAGGAAATCTCAAAGTGATCATGGACAATGATTTTCAGAATATTTCCCATGGTTGCAGCATTTCCCCTCACTATTATGTGTGCCCTTTGACTAATGCAATTCAAACTTGCTAAATGTTTAATGCTTTTGCCCTCTGGTGTCAGAGGGCAGGGTAGCTTCCCTCCTCAATGCTCTGTCTCACTCCAGCATCATTTATGCTTTTTACTGTACAAAACTCTGTGAAATCAACAGCTAATTCTTGCACTTTCAGATGGGCTGGGAAGCAAGTTTTGTCCCCAAAACAATTTCTTCGCTCTCAGCCGAAAATGGACGTGGAGTAAACTGAAGAAGTGCAGCAGATGAGAAACAACGCAAAATCAAATTTGATGAGGCAACAATCACCTCTGAATGGCTTTCGTCTGATATGTTCATGTGCCTGGAAGTGGTAAAGAGGACAATGAGGAGATAGAAGAAAAAGGAGCGAGTTCTGTGTCCTTTGGAGCGTCCCGGGCCGAAGCTGATCGTCTGTGCGGTTTGAGCCAGGCCGGGCTCAGACAGACAGACAGCTGCTATTAAACCCTGATTGTTTCAGGTTCACAGGGTGTGAAAGGGTCTGATTGAAGGGCTGTGATCCCAGTGAGGGTGGTCCTTCTCCCCCTTACCTCCCCTCTCTCTCTCTCTCTGTGTGGAAGGTGGGAGAAGGACCATGTAGGGAAAGGGGGGTGACGGGTTGCAGGCGTCACGTGACGAGTTTCTTGCTGTGCGGACTAAAATGGAATCTTTACAAAAACACACCACTTGTTGCTGCCTGTTTCTTGTTACACCTGTGTCACATAATCAGGGGCCAAACCCTCCATCCCACTGCCTACCCTAAACTCCTCAAAAAAGTGACTTTATCATCATGATTAATACCAGAGAGAGCTTTGCCCAAAGTTTTACTCGTTTTTACTACAGTAGATGCAAATTTACCCAAATAAAAATTGCACAAGGTCAAAGAAAAACCCATCAGTCCTCTGATATGACTGTGGTAAATCACTTCAAACCTGACCTGTGACTGCAAATTTGAGGTCAGCTGCTTCCTGCACCGTGTATTTGTTTAAGGCCATCCCCATTAAGGAGCCTTTCGAGCTCAGTACACTTGATAAAGACCAGAGAGGGTGAGGAAGCTCCCCTGCAGAGCTTTTCTCATGTGGCCAAAGGACAAGTGCAGTCTCGTCCATCGAATGCTCCCCCATGTAAACCTCTAAAGGAGAGATTGGTCATGATGGAAAATGACCCTGAGCTTTTCAGTCAGCTTCTTTCAGCATAAAAACCTGATAACAGTAGCTAATTCCACCTCATCCAGTTGCAAAGCAGTTAAATAATTTAATATCTCATGAATCCTTACAAGAGTCTCCCTCTTGATGCAGTCTACAAAGGTATATGTGTGAGTGGGGAAGGTACAGACAGTGTGTGCTCAGCACTTCTCACTGTCACTTTGGAAATAAGTGTTTGGCCTCCCCATTGAGGCTGATGTTGACGCTCTTCAGTGCAGGGCCACTATTAGCAGTGGCCTAATCTTCCCACATTAGCAGCTACAGTCCACTCTTACACAGATAATTAGATTAGAATCCATCATCTATGTGAGATTAGAGATGGATGGTAGCAGGGTTCAATTTGTAAGAAGCACCAAAAGTGCAGAGGTCAGAAAACCATCAAAGTTTATGCATTAAAAGTTTTGACAAACTGCAACAAGAGGTAAGCCTGTAGGACAAATACTGGCACCAAAAGTGTTGCGAATTACAAGAAACAGCTGTTCTCGGGTGGCCCTGCTACTGTCCTCGGGCAAACCTGCAGACCCCCACCCCAAAGGAAGCAGTTTTAGGGGGGTCTGCAATTGAGCCAGGAAATTCAGCAAAACGTCAGCTTATCATCTCATGTCTAAACAGAAAACAATTTCAGTATCTTCCCAGGTCTCTTTTAAACCCACAGTAAAATATATTCTGCCCTAAGAGACCACAAAAACCGAACACACCATCTTATCAGTTAAATGGAAGATGTGAAACAAAACGTCACATAAACAAGGACATGAACACACTTACTGTAACACACAGTTTAAAGTTTTCATCTGATTTAAAGAGATCCAAGCTAGAAGGGTGGTTATAAGGCTGCACAAAAAGTTACTTTCAAACTAAGAACAAGCGTAATCTAGTCAATTAATAATCGCCTGTAATTTAAAGAGCGACCATAAATCATCAGCGCTGCTTACCTCAGGGTAGAGGAGAAATATTCAGCATGAAACTCCCTGACTGGAGTCCTTGGAAGAGCTCAGAGGATCCAGGGACTGAGAAAGTTTCCAGTAAAAGCCTCCCGTCTCTCTCTCTCTCTCGCTCTCGCTCTCTCCTTTCTTTCTTTTTCTCTCTCTCAACTTTTCTGGCAAGCAGGCGGATGGAGATGAGTGAAATCTTCACAGAAACCGACACATTGTTCCTTCTTCAGCAGGAATCTTGCATACTTTCGGATTCTTCAAAGTGTCTTTAGGCAGACGTTGACAAAACTGCACCCCATGTTCGGCTCTGGAGTCCCGCAAAGCGCCTTGGAGTTGGCTGCACAGCCAATGCGGGAATGCGCACCCCCTTTCCTTCTCTCTTCCCCCTCCTTCCCTGTCCTCCCTCCCTTTCTCCACAGCCTGTGGACCACCCCGAAACAGGAAGTTCACTTTTTGTTTTTCTTAAAAAAAAGAAAGAGGGAAAAAAAAAAAAAGAACCACACTGCCTCGGTTTTCTCCTCAAACTTAACATGCAGCCCAGAAACACAACAGAACTGATGGTCGGACGGTTTTCCCCCCTCGCCTCAGTAAATAAAAGAACATTCCTTTAAAGTAATATAATCTGCTATATAAAGGCATTACAGCCTCCAAGTGTTTATCAAATGCTTGTACGTACACGACCGCGTCTATATTAAGTAGGTTCTTATCTAGTAATTGTGAAAACCAATCTATAAATGTTTGTGTTTACTTTAACAGTGTAACTTCATAGCAGCACATCGGACAGCGTGTGCGGCTGCCTGGCTGGCTTCTAGTGGGGATGCTGCAGATCGCTGAGCCTCAACCCGTCAAATCCACCGCAAAACCTGGACCGGAATCCAATCCGCTGCCCCGGGACCCGGACCAGCGCCGACGCGACCACATTGGGTTATTAAAGAAGAAAACCGTGCGCCGACACTTAACCTAAAAGCAGACATTATTACTTCAGGAAGAGTACATCAACACATAGGCATTTAATAAACATATGAGAGTATTAAGTTGTCATTATTTATATTGTTTTTATAAATATTTACATGTGTTTTAAATATTTATTTATTTATTCTCACAGAGAATAACAATGTTTCATAAAAAGAGAAGGACCACAGTAAATATCAAAGACCAAAAAAATAAATGTTTTACTTAGATTTCTCTGTTATTTTTTCATTTTAACTATGTATTGATTTATTTTTGAAAACATAAATATTAAAATGGCATAACGTAGCTAATGAATTTATTCTATCTAGATATCGATATATACAGATATAGATATATATTTATATATATAGATATATGTATATATATAGAGATAGATATATTTATATATATAGATATATATATATATATATATTATATATATATATATATATATATATATATATATATATATATATATATATATATATATATATATATATATACATTTATAGATATATATACATTTATAGATATATATATGCGTATGGTAACTACACACCACAAAAAGCATGCAGAGGAAAAGACAGGGAGGCTGAAATGTGAAAAGTGTTTATGACTTTGTTGACTTCTTAGTATTTTTTTTTGTTTTGATTTAATTGCGTAATAACCCATAAAACAATAATGTGCTTTTTACAGTGCTTGTCATCTACAAAGATTTAACAGCACTAACAAAAAATAAATAAATACTGAATGTGTGAAGTGTTTTGTATTCAAATGTTTAGCAGAATCCAAAGTCATCACCACAGGACCAAGAGTGTTTATTAGCTGCATATCAGTCAATAACTACATTCATGAGGCCATTTTATTTTCAAAGCTGCCGGGAAAGCTGAGTCAAAGCCTGAACAGTTGGTGACCCAAGCCAAGGCTGGAGTCCATTCACAGCATACGGCCAGTGGTTAAATCAGATTTTGTCAATGAGAGTTGTGGTGGGCTTTGAGCCCAATATAGCTGCAGCAGGGAAGCCTTGGCTATAAACCCTCCCACAGATGCTGCAACCATATGTTTCATCTGACAGAGGGAAGAATCTCACACCAGCTTCACTTCAGATTATCAGTGAGTGGGATTAAGGTGAGGAGAGTTCATTGTAGTTGTTGGTAAGAGCTTTTTTTGGTCCTTTTTTTTTTGGAAAGCATAATTTAGCAAAATATAGGAAAATGTATTTATAGTTCAGATTTCTTCATTGAGAAGATTTAAACCAGATGGTTTCAGTGCAAAGTTGATGAAGATGACAGCATGCACAAAATGTTTTCAGTTAATATAGGAATATTTAGCAAGTAGTTCATCCACTCACTATTCAAATGTTGGCATGCTAAACTCTTAAATATAGATATTATTCAGTATCATGAAAATGTTCATAGTAAAATATTTCATATCCTCAGTTATTATTCAGGTTTGTATTCAGCAATATACAGACAACATTGTACTCAGACAATATAGAATTTTGTCAGCTAATGTTTGCAGTTTTCTTTCACACCTAACATTAAGAAAACATTAGCTATTTTCTTAATGTAACAAAAGGAGAAAAGGTGAATGGGGCAGAAATAAAAAGTTACAGATGTCCACCTCCAAAGCTTGTAGAGGGCTTAACACACCAAACAGATTACCAACAAGGTAAGCCAAAGGAAAAGCTTTTAGCAGTATTGTTAAGGTCACGAAAGGACTGAAAGCTGCAGAAGGATGAAGTCTCACTGTTTGCTAAATTTCTAAAAACTGGTTTTGCACAGTGTTATCACAGTCTTCCAGTGTTTTACATACAAAAATGTCTTAAATATGTGGAATAACAAAAGGTTTATTATAAAATTATATGCACACCATACAGCAACAAAAACATTTGAAACTTTATCTGATATCCACTAAATGGAAAGAAAGTGAAGCCCCTTTCCTCATGGTGATGAATCCAAGGTAACGTAAGGCTATAGAGGATCATGCATGTTAGCCAAGTGGGTAGAAGAGAAAGCAGCTGTCACCAAGGCTCGGGGCATCTGGACACCATTCCCCAGTGCTGCAAAATCCAGCAAATCTTTTACAGGATTTGTTTTTCCATTGCAGATGGTCCTCTGCACATGTTTTCCTCTCATTGGCTCGGGGTCCCGGGTTGGCAGTGCTGCAGCCAAGTAGGTACCACATATAAAGGTTTGCTCTGTCTGCAGCAAGCCTCTGCACACTGAAGGGAGGAAACTGGAGTTAAAGACAACAATATGACCAGTGGCTGGACATCTCCATGAGCGCCTTAAGCATTTTGTAACAAGCAGGTGCAAAGGTAAGCGCTGCACAGAGATTTTATTTCTAATTAACATTTTAATTTATTGCAGTGTCTGCAAAAATGTTATTCTGATATGTGCCTTCCTGTAGAAATGATACTTTCTTTCTTTCTTTGTTTCTTTCTTTGTTTCTTTGTTTCTTTCTTTCTTTCTTTCTTTCTTTGTTTCTCTCTTTCTTCCTTTCTTTCTCTCTCTGCCTCTCTTTCTTCTTTTCTTTCTCTTTCTTTCTTTCTTTCTTTCTTTCTCTCTTTCTTTCTTCCTTACTTTCTTTCTTTCATTATTTCTTTCTATCTTTCTTTCTCACTTTCTTTCTCTTTCTTCCTTTCATGCACTTTCAATTAATTTTTTCTGTTGTCATGTAACAGATAAAAATATTTAGTAATCAAAAGTTAAAAAGTATCCATATATCATTTTAAGTACAGAACTTACAGTTTCTCTAGGTGATAAATTCTTATTGATCTTATGGAATTATGCATTTTTTGCCAAGAGATAATAATTGGCGTTAATTGTAAGAAAATAATTAGTTGAGATCAAATTCATACCCTTTCACATAGATGTGTAGATATAAAACAGAGAATTTGAACAATATAAGATAGGTCTAAAGGCAGCATTTTTTTTCCTTTTGACCCTTCTGATATTAAACGGTAAAAAACTTTTGTAGGGTGATAGTCACTAGAGGGCAGCATTTTACAAGCCGACAAGCAGACAGATGAAACGCTCATACATCTGATGCACATGGAATACCAGGATTTTGTGCTGTAAAAAATAAGACTAACCCTTCAACATTATGTCAGTTTCACCTGAAAAATAAACAAAAAATGCTTGAGGGATATAACATAAATCTATTTGCATAAAATAAATCCAATTGCATAATTTATCTCACTTTGCATTTAGCATTGCTGGGTAGACACCTCACATTGATTTATAGTAAACAGTTGAGTTGTCATTTTAGGATTTTCCGGTCAGACGTATTTTTTTACATGTGTGAACTAGGAAGAACAATTTAGTATTTTTTAAAGCCTTTTTCAGAGAAGACGTTGAGCCCTCACTCAAACATTCAGACTGGAATATGTCATCTTTTGACAAAACCAGACTTAAAGTTTTGGGTTATAGTTTTGCCACAAAAATGACAACACAGAGCATCACCTAAAAAGCATCATACGAATACAAAACTTGGTGGTTACGGATCCTGAATTCATTGGCGTAAATCCTGGGGGATTCGGGGGGGGCCCGGAACCCCCCCATCTGGGAAAAGTCTAGAATTCTCCCCCAAAAAAAATAATAATTGAAGAAACATTTGCATTTAAACAAGATCAATATGAAAAGGCAAGCAAAATAAACAAAGAGTGAAATAAATCTGCCATTCATCTAGGAAAAAAAAAATTATACATTTTTAGGTCCCCCTGCCCCATCCAATGTTAGAACAATGGTTCAGTCCAAAGTATAGGAGGAGCAACAGCAGGGCTGAATGGCACAGGCTTGTCAGAGCCGCTGAAATGAGGAGGCATAGCTGTGGCTCAACGTCACAAACATAAAACCCTCCAGTAAGTAAATACTTAAAGTAAAAGACATATAAACCTTTCATTTACTTTCAATGAAAGGTTTATTGAAAGTAAGTCAATACTTTAAAGAAAAATATTCACATTTTATTTTGTGGTTTAAAAGGCTGTATTTTTTTTCAGTAAGAAAAAAATACAGCCTTATTATAGCTTCAAAATCATTGTTTTCATAGATTTAAGATTTTGTCAAAGGTAACAAATATCTCATTCATATTTAGCCCTTTAACTTTTTCGTGAATCAGAAGAGCTTGAAACAGGAGGGAGGGGCTGAGCAAAAAGAAAGCTCCCTTTACTTCTCACTGTCTTCAACTTAGAGCCTTTTAAACCACAAAATAAAATCTGAATATTTTTCCATATATGAGCGCATTAAGAATAGAATAGAATAGAATTGAATAGAATAGAATAGAATAGAATAGAATAGAATAGCATTTATTGTCATTGAACAGGATTCAACGAAATTTCTATTGCAACTCCCGTGCAAAAAGTCAAAGTGTTACGTTTAAGTTATGATACTCCCTAGATATTAATTTCTATTTACTTTTTGGTTCTCAGCCATCCAGAAAATGGCAAAACTAAAAAAAAAAAAACAAGTTATAATTTAAATAGCCCATAGCTTGTATTGGGAACCATTTCAATAAATCAATGTTTATGAGGAATTTTATTAAGAGCAGTTACTCATTAAAACTTGTTTTTATTTAGAACCTTACATTTTTGTAAATGTGTAGCAGAGATTAGAACAGTGAGACTGGACATAACTAGCATTGAATTTTAGTTTTACTTCTCAACAGTTTGCTTACTGAGAATAACAAATGTTTCATGTGCATTATTAGTCATTTTTGGTCTGGCAGCTTGAATGTAGTTTAAAAACTTTGTAAACTGGATTTTACGTTACATTTCAATGGAACTTTGCCGACCCCTCCAAAATTGCTCTTAAGAAATGTTCCAATAATGAGATGGGTTTTACGCCCTTGCCTAAATTGAGGTTGTGTTTCCTGAATGGATGGGTCGGGGTATGTTGCAAAGTGGATGAAATCAGGAAGAGATCCAAATACCGATGAATCCTGACTTACAGTCAGGTAGCAAGATGAAGGCACAGTGGGATTCCCTTTTTCAGTACCATAGTGAGATCAATGCACCTCTCAAAGAAGCGATAGAAGTTATTCTGTATAAAGATATCAACTGAGATGGAAAAAATGCTGTTCTTATCTGGTTTTTGTTTCTACTGCTGAAGCTCCAGAGGCGCTGCACAGAATATGTGTGGAGAAAAAGCAATAACATTATTCAATCATTTTTGTATTTATCTACAAATAGATCTGTTTATTTTCCTTAGAAAATAGAGCTTTGTTTTGTATTGTTATGATGGTGTCATTTTTTTAAACCCCCAAAACATGGCACTTCAATGAGAGGACATTCAATTTTGAAAGAATTTTATAGCAAAATCTTTGTTACTGAAATCGGTACGTTTATTTGGTCTTTCATAGTCTGTTATATTCTTTATAAATTTCTAGTAATTATACTCATAACGTTTTCTTCAAGCAGACAAAATCTGTGAAATGCCCCTGAGTGGGATAGTTAAAATTTATATCAAACCTTTTACCTCTCATTTGTGTCTATTCATGATTTGTTTGTGTGTTGCAGAAGTTCAATCACCTGGACAGATCACACCAGCAGATATTGTCATGAAACAGAAGGAGATAGACTGAAGCACTATCTTCAGATCAGGAAAGTATGCAATCAAGCATTGCTTTGCAAGCTTCTAAACATTGCAAACACGATATTTTTCTAAAAACCTGACCTAAAGGTTTATGTGAAAAAAGGTCAGCCCTACTGAAAAATATCTCAACACTCCACTAGGGGGCAGCACATTCGTTTGCAGTTCTGCTTCACAGCAAGAAGGTTTAAACCTGAAGGTGGGTGGAGCCTTTCTGTTCAAGGTTTGTAAACTCTCCCTTGTGTTTTTCTGCTGCTTGTTTCTTTCAACCCCCACAAGTTTTTGTGTTATGCATTTGCTTCGTTTGTCACAATCTTAATCAGGTACAGATTTTATATCATTTTATATTCTCTATAAAGCAGCGTAGAAATGCTGAAACATTGTGAAACATCCTGCCTTAGTAAATATATAATATATATTTGCTGGACAAGGTTACATATTATGTTAAACTCCTAATTTCCTGCAGAAAGTCCTCAAGCTTCCATCTTCAAGGTGTTAAATTGCACACATTAGACACAATAGATCCTGACATTCATTGACCTGATTGGATGGATTCTGTTAAGTTGCCTCTGACAGAATTAGGTCCCCATCGGAAATTGAGTGGGGTAAGACCGGTTAAGATGGAGGTAAAGCAAGAACTGTGGCATTAATTCCTTTAGCTGTGCTGATGCAAGCTCCTACTGGATCCTGGACTGCATAAGTCCAGCAGCCTCTGTTCTCATTTGAACACTTTAATTTGTCCACTTTTAAAGATGTAGTCACAGTGTGAATAATAAACAAATATTCTGAGGAAGGTTATCACCACTGTTTTTCATAAGTCAAAGTATATGAAGTAATATAGTTATCTTATAAATGCAGCAGGAAATTATAGGTTTTTTGTTTTGGCAACATGAGCAACCACGATAAAAGCTTTTATGTTAGTTATTTTGGTGACTTACACAGGTTCCTTCAGTCCAGAAAAGCTGATGTTGATGACCATGAATGAAATCTTTGAATTTGGATAAAACAGTAAGAACAATTTTTGAAATAATATTCAAAGGGAAAACTCCAGAATAGGTATTTCTGGTCTCCAGCACCTCACTCCCTGGCAAAAACCAAATCCACAACTGTGACATTTCGTTCATACGTTTCACTGATGTTGTGGGGTTTACCTGCTTTAGCTATGTGTAGCGCCACGTCATACTTCCGTTGTCTTGTTGTTTGTAGTGCTAACACTACTGTCTGCCGTGACCTCAGTTCATTTAACCCTTTGTTTAAAAAAAAATCTCATGGAGTTTTGCAAACACTGTGGAAGTGGAGCATCTTCTGAACTAACCCAAGAAAGTACCAACGTTAAATAAAAAAATTATGGTCCAAATTTTAAGTTACTTTGCTTAGGGTCTCACCCTAACCCTCTTCTTATTCATTGTAACTTTAGTTACAAAGAAACAATCAATTTGGTGAAGTTTGCTAAATTATCATCATTACTTTTTCTGTTTTTTTTTATTTTTATTTTCATTATGTTGTGCTCCCCTGAAGCTCTCTGGTGACCCCCAGAGGGGGGCACGCCCCACACTTTGTAAAGCTCTGTGCTCTACAATTTATGATTCTGCCCAACGAATTGGGCAAATACTCTTGTTGTGGCAGACCTATAATTTTCACTCTATAAAGCTGCATAAAAATATTTTCTCTTGCGACTGTGGTGAAACCTAACCATGGTTCTGTATGGAGTACATGCTGTTGAAGGAAATAGCCAATTAGCTACCAGCTGCTGAACTTAGTTGGCTGCTGGAAGGTTAGTGGAACATAGAACTGAAAGGGAAAGCAACACTAACATTTTACAGGTGAGCTCACTTCATTTCAGTACTGATATTTTGTTCTTGCTCATTTGTGTGATTAATTTATGAAGTTATAGATTAAAGATGATGTCTTCTGCAATGCATGCACTTGTATCTTTGGCTGAACGTGCCACAAAATTAGTAGGAAAAAGACTTTCCATGTCATCAATTAATAATTTCATACATTATTTTAACCAAACATGGTTTCACATGGACTTTGTACTTTGTACTTTTCTGTGATGGTTCCAGTTCCTTCAAGATAAGATGAGTGTATTATTGAGGCCCTCTGCTGAAAAAAACAAAAACAAGAAAGCATAAAGTATTACTGTTAGATATATCAAAATAACAGTTAACAAGCTTTCTTTAGCATTTAGTAAATGTGTCCATAGTACAGCTAGCTGATAGAGGAAGTTAAAAAGCTATAAGTGCCAATGAGTCAAATGAAGATTCAGAGAATAACATTCATAAACGTTTATTTATCTCAATATGGAGGTTTTAATAGGGCAGATCATTTTTGAAGTGTGCTCTTTACATTTTAACATTAGTACCTTGCTTTGATTAAGCTGTTCACTGCTAGTTTGAAAACTTTTCTAGGATGATGCAATGGGTCAAATGTTGTCAATGAACTGTGTTGGGTTGGCAGGGGTTAGGAAGGTATTTTTGTTCAATAATATATATTTCTAAATTAAGGTATAATATTGACATAATCAAGACAAAAGAGTAAAGCAGTTTGGTTTTTGCAAAGACTCAAAGCTTAGCTGTAGCAGCGGAAAGGAATTTTCTGCATGGTGTCTGCATTAAATTACTTTTTTTTAATGTGTTGTTGAGTCATTAGTACTTTTACTGCATGACTTCCACTTGTTACTCACTAAATTTGGACTTACTTCCAACATGTTATGCTTGAATCTTTTACTCTGATAGATCAATTCTTGATCAGAACTATGTCTTGTGAGGCTTGTCAGTATCCACAAGTCTTCTTAGGCATTTGCTGCCCTCAAGTGGCCGTAAAACTGTCAATTTTAGATTACATTATGAAATGCATATAGTTTTATCAACCTTGTTTAAGCAATAAACTGCTCTACAATAGTAATTTGAAGAAATGTTAGAAGTATTGCAATTACCAGGCATTGACTGCTTCAGTTGTTGTTCCAGTGTGTTGTAGGGCATGTCTTCCTTACATACAATGCTTAACTAACAACAGTATGTGTGTGTCTATTGCAGTTTTACAAGTGTGTGCCATCTATAACATCTATTTTATTATATTATTTAGCTAAGCACAGCAGAGGTACAACTGTTCTCCTTTCTGCAACTCATCTGAAGTGACCAGTTGTAAAGATTTATGGTAGTTCAGCACTGAGGTCCTATGCTGGCAAAGGGATATAACCTCAGGGACCACCATCAAATATGTAATACTTCATTGGGTAAGCTATATGACAATGTTTAATTTGGTACACATATGAGCAACCGACTAAAACCTTTTGCTCTTTACAAGGTGCTTTAGTCAGATCAGCATCATTCCTGGCACCTTTATTTGAGATCCCCAAATTTCTGTCATGTAACTCACACACATTACAGTAAAGATAAAGTCTCAAAGCTGTAAAAGTTGGACACGTTCATGTAGCAGTTTGGGAACAAAATGAACTTCCTTAAGCAGCATTAACTTAGTATTTTGTCTATTGCAACTGCTAAACCACAAGCATGGTATTCTTCAACCATTCCTGAATACCTCGGATTGCTTGTGAGGTCATTGCTCTATCACACATGTGCATCACTTGCTCAATTTCTTATGTGTTTGAATACTTCAGATTTCACTGTGAAAGTACTTATGGATTTTTTTCAAACTATCGTTAAAGGTTCCATCTGCTACAGATTCATATACCCTTGACATGTTGACATATCTGGTGCTCCAACAAGTTTGCATTTCAATGAAAGAGGCTGATTGCTGATACGGCAAGGTAAGTAGTTTCCACTAATGAATTTATTTGAGTTGCTGTGTCCCAAAAGTAACTTTTTGCCAATGGTTTCTGAATGTTCATAAAACTATAGTCTCAACTCCCACTGCTTGCCAAACAAAATGCGTGTGGACACTGTTTTCGCCCTGCTCTATACTCAAGCATGCTTTTTGCAAGGTACTGGTGGTACCCATGAACCTACAGTGTACCACTGTTTGAGAAAGGCATGCAAAAGTGTATTCTACATGCTGAAGATGTAAGTATGTTCCGTCTTTTTCAGAGTTCTCATAATTTGGTTTCAAACAAATTCATATGGTGTTTTTGTGTGACAGAAGATCCCAAGAGGCAATCAATCATATGAGAATATTTCCTTAAAGTACATAGACTTCTTCAACTTCAGAATTATGAGATGACATAACTGCCCTTTTCTGCTTTTGGCACAGATTTGTGTCTAGATTGCAGGCATTTAAAAGGTCATAAAAAATTTATGAGGTAGTTAAATGTAAATGTTTTGATATGTTTCAACCTGTGATTCATGCGCAGATTCTGACTTGCCCCAGTCTACGGTCTCAGAATAGGTTCTTTGTGTTTTGTGTTTCAACATATTAAATGTAGGTTGGAGAATACTGTTGTTAGTGAAGACTCTCTAAAAAGGAGTATTCAAGGCCTTTGCTTAGTCTTTGTAAGTTACAAAAAGTGTGACAGTATACCAGTACCCTCACCAAACAGCTCTAAAAGTTTTGTCAGTTCAATAGTCAAGGGATATCGTTTAGATTTCAGTCATATATGAAGAATCTCTTTAATTTAGTCTTTTATTTTACAACCTTTAACTTCTTCTATTGACCCTTTCTGTTTTAGCAGCTAGAAATCAATTTCAACCACAAAAGACCACTTATCTTACCAATCACTTAATCACAGAGCTCTGCCACTTCAGGAAATCATCTTAAAATGAGAATTTATTTTATCTATACCAAAAATGCATGAAAAAACACTTTAGGCACAAGTATCCACAAAGATGTTTTGCACAGTATTCTAGGTGAACTCCTAGGAACGCTATAATATTAGTACCTGAAGATTGTTGAGTATTTGTTGTTGCTCTGATTAGAGTGGCTAGTGGTCTCTAGATCCTTTGAGTCTTCCCAGAGTCTATTAGTTACAGTTATACACCATTTGTGCTAAAGTGCTAGTTATCATTAACATTTCCACTGCCATCAGCTTTCACTTATTCATCCTCAGAGGAAACCAGTATAGTGCCCTCTACTGTCCAAATAGTGAACAACTATAAGAAAAAAATTCACTATAATTTGTATCTTCAAGTGTTGTGGAACACCATAGAAGAATGCATGGCTTAAGCATGTGCAGTACATCAGGCTATACTAGTTTCTGCTATGATGGACTCAGTTCTCTGGATACACCTCTTATTTCTAATTATGAAATGTCATGACAAATATCAGCAAAATCTAGGTCCTCTGATGCTAAGTGTTATTTTGTTGCCTCAATCTGACAGCATTTTTGAATTACAATATTAGGATGCAATGACAGAGTAAATAATATAATTAGGGTAAAGTAAGCGTTAGTTTAATTGGATTATTCTCAATAGTAAATCTCAGGGTGATTCTCAGTCTTCTGACCTTAGAAATGCCACCATGTGGTAAAACTGGATCTTGTAGTTAATTTCATAATTAATAATTAACTATTTTAGTAATCCCTATATTGGTACGATACAGCCATATGCAAATGTCATTCAATTAAAAAAAGCAATAATTTTGTATTTCACAGTCATTTACAAACTTATCTTGAATCATTTGTAACACTTTAGGTCAATTATTAAAGCCAAATAAAAAAACACATTTTAAAATATATGTATTTGAAGTGAATTTAACACTTATTTTTTTAAAATGATGCAATTTATCACAAATTTATTAACTCTTGATTTGCTGTCATAACCTAATGTTGCAATATAAGTATTTTTTTATTATTATTTCTGGTACATTTCTGTGCTCACTTTGTTCCTCGACCTATTTTTAATTTGAACAAACACACTCAAAAGAATTGTTGGACTCAGATGAGAACTTTTAGGTTAGAAAATACGTTACGGGTAAAACTTTGCCTCGATTCTCGTTGAAGGATATTGTTCTGGAACAAGGTACTCCTGATGTAACTCAGAGAGATAAAGCAAGTAACTGGGACTGTCGTAATGGGATCATCCTGTGGATTTAAGAGTTATTTGCAGGGCTGTGTATGTTAAAACTGGAACACAGTAAACAGCGCAGTTCCAGATTCTTTAAAATGACATTGAAAGTGTCTCTTAAAGGTCCACTGCATTCCCCTATTTTACCTTTCAGAGCTGATGAAATGCAACCATGCACAGTAGAAGATAGTCTCTGACTTTTCTATTGTATTCTGGGATGTCAGTTGAAGAAAGTTAGAGAACAACTCTTTATTTATAATAAAAATTGGCATCCATACAGGAAATCTTTCAAATTAAATATGGAATATTATTAACATCCAGTTCTCTCAATTACCCGAGTGGCATTATGCAGTGAAAAAAAAAAAACATTTTCTTGCACCAGGTATTTAATTTAACAAGATTTAACATAAAATCATATTGTTAATCCTAGTGAAATTGACTTTCTAACCATTTGTATGAATTGCTGTTATCTAATTGGATCCTAGAATGTGAATCATACATTTAGGAACTTCATGACTTGTTACATGGAAGGATCATGAAGTTGTTGTTGTACGCAGTAATCTTCTCACTAAGCCTTACATCGTTATTTACTGTTTACCTGAGGAATCAGTGGAGAGAGTGGGAACAGTTTGGTTTCACGTCTCGTCCCGCCGTGACACCTTGAGCAGTGACTCTGGCTGACACCTTTGACCTTCACTAAAGGATTTGTAGGATTGTGAGTGGAGTGAAGGCTTTAGGGTTTTAGTGGCACATGGCAAAACAGTGGGTCTGTGGGTCAGTGTGTCAATATATCAGTGAGTCAGTAGGCTTTTCATTTTCTCAAACTAGGTCAGCTATTTACTTTCGTTAAATGAGGCTAATGCTGGAACTTCCTGGTGTCACACTGCTCACCTGCTCACGTCGACATCTAACTCCCCTCATGATCATGTTCTAACACCATCACACGTGCACTCACACCTTCGGCCTTCACCCATAGTCCTCACCAAAGAAAATCAAAAAGCATTTATTCTCCGAGTTGTTAGATAGAAAGGCAAAATGTATTTTTGTACGTTGCCAGTCACATTCGAAACAGATGCAAAATGATGCTTTTATATCTGTTTCAACAAATCCAGCCATGCTGAGCCGCAGAGAAAACGTGATGTCACAGATTACTTCCAGGAATCAAATTGCAAAAAGTGCACCACTCAAATGTAACTGAGGAGACCAAACTTAATTGAACCATTTTTAAATTTTCCACATTTTTCTCACAATTTATGTTTTTATTTAAGCCAATGTGAACCTATCCAGTTAAGATTACCAAAGCTACATATTTTTACTTACTTTGCATACATTTTCTTAATATATTTCAGAATTATTTGTTAAGCTTTATGACATGAGTAACCTTACACAATGTTCTCTCCATTAGTTGCCCTGTAGTGTAACTGACTCAGGTTTGTTGACCACCCTGCTTGCACACACCTTTTCAGCTCTGCTCATTCCTCCTTTGAGTCATTGCATTACCGATTTTGTTGTCATTAAGCCAAACTGCAACCACTGTGCTCTGAATCTTTGCAAGCAAGCTTTTACTTTCTGGTAAATGTTTTTAAATGGTCTTTCAATAATGCTGTTTCCTCACGATGCCTGTAACTTTGTAAACTGTACCAGTCCTTCCTGTAATGTAACACCCCCACAACATGACGCTGCTTGCTATTATTCTACTTCATGGTTGGGATGATGTTCTTAGACTTTGAAGCTTTCTTCTGTTTTTTTAAAAATGTTGCTAAACATAGTGTTTATATCCCTCTGGGAAGTTTAATTTGGCTTTTCATGTCACTTTTGGAATAATGATTTCTTCCTCTATATGGAATTTCAGCTTTACCAAATAACCTTTGACAATTCTGGCCCCACCAGGCATTAGCAAATACCTGTTGGAACTTTGCCTCTGCTGAGCTTATATCATAAAATATTTTGTAGTCCATTACACTGACAGACATTTGTAAATGCTTACTGGAGGACTGTTAATGTGATGACATGCTGAAGGTAGCATGTAATTGAAAAGGAACTTCTTAAAAAGACAGAGTCTCAATTTCAAGATGTTAAGTTGTGAAGTCAAATTTCTTTTAAGTCATGTTTTATATATTCTGTATTTTTATAACAACTGAAAGTGACAGTTATTTTATTGTGCTATAAAATGACACTTTGTGACTGGAAAACATAATACTGCTCCTTTAAATATTTTTGTTCTGTTTTAGAAACAGGTTTCTAAAATAATTTCCTTGAAACCCAGAAGTTACTTTCTGGCTGGAAATGACACAAGTATCATCCAAAAGGCCATGAGACAAGGTGCAATGGCTTTTTGAAAAACAAAACAATCTGAAATGTTCTTTATGCTAACAAATAGTGTCATCCTGAAGACAGTTCAGGCCCTTCTCTTTAATCGTTGAAGACATCTTATTTTTTTCACTTGTTCACTTTTTCTTCTCTCAACTATAGACAAGCTTGTTGCATGTCTGCACAGGTCTTTCCATATTTCTTTTTAAATATCATCGCTCTCTTTTAGAAACCATGTGCTCTTATAACTTTATTTCATTAAAGTTATAAGAGACATAAACCAAAGAACCTCCAATATAACTGACAGAAGGTGGTTCACTCAAGAAGCTGAAGAGAGATGTTTAGGTGCACTGCAGATTTTTAGGTGTAAAACATGTGAATCTTAATTAAAATAAATGTGCATGGTTAGTTGTCATACGGCAAAGAACTATTTAAAAAACTCCCTTCTGGGCACTGGATGTGGGGCAGTGTTATTGAACTTTTGTTCCTCAGACAGCAGAATTGGTTACCCAATAATTAGAAGGTCAGTAGTTTGATCAATTGCTCAATCTGTCCACATGTTCAAGTGTTCTTGTTTAAGATATCGAAACTGGAAAATGACTTTGTTTTAATGTGATTGTTATCCCTATAAATTTTCTAAGAACCATAAGGGGTGTAGAAAAAATATCATTCACTTCAAAATGTTATGTATTGGTTATTTCTTATGGCACTTCAAACCAAAGCAATAGGTTGTGCCACTCCAAACTATTTTCTGAAGGAACAGGTGTGATTGTTTGCCATTCTTAGAAAATCACCTGTAATGACTCATATTTTGCTATTGGCAACAAAACAAAATTCTCCGACATAGCTCACTCTAAAGGTTGGTCCTACGGCTGCTCAAACAAGTAAACAAGCAACGTAGAGTGATTTTAAGAGTCAGTTTTCTGGCTCTTTAGGAATTATTCTTTAACTAATAGCTAATTGAATTTTGATTTTTGCACCTGATTGATAAATACTGAAATACAACTAATCATGCACATGTTCAAAACCTTCATGCAAAGGACACATTTCTGAGAACTGTTCTTTTCTCATTAACTGTTCTTTTCTCTGTTTCTTGGTAATGCACAGGTTCCCTGTGAAGTGACTCCCTTTGGTTCAACTGCAAGGTGCTGTCTCATCAGACTTGATCAGGAGTTATTCACCAATCACATCTAGCAAGTTCCTTCTGATGTATGTCACAAATAATCACATTCACAAACTTAAAAATATTTATAGTTCATAGTTTTTACCAAGTTAGAAAATAAATGCAAACTTGATGAAAAATGTTACATTATCTTTCTATTTTTATTTCAAATTAAATGTAAAAAAAATTGGAAAAATCTGTATCTGTAAAGCCATTGTGAATTGATTCCTGTAGAATTACCTTTTTCTGTATTGTTGCTGCAAGTCCTTTGGGATATGGTTCCATCTGTGTTGCATCTCAAGACAGACATGAATCTTCCTTAATCCTCTCAAACTACTTAATGATCAGGGAAATTGGATTTGGGGCACCTGTGAACATTTTCTCATTTTCTAAATATTCTCCACATTTAAATCTTAGCGAATTTCATTGTGAACTTAAATCCATTTTAACAAGCTCTTCTTTCACTGCTCGAAAAAATGTGTGTTGCTGATGATAACACTCAAAACCTATGGCTAGTTAAAGAAATGTAACTCAGGTACGTGACCAAAGTTGTGCCACATAATAGTTGAGTTATTAATGATGAGGATTAGGCGTTTGTTTGCGATCGAATATGGATAAACAGCATCTTTGCTCTGAAAAACTTCTTTTTTGTGCCAGAGTGCCTCAGATGGCGATTATAGTCCATTTTGGATGATGTAACATGACTGTGCTGTTGGCCGCAAAGATAGAGTTGAGAAATTTTTTTCTGGGAAAGAACAATATCTTATGACCCAATAATTTTCAGAAAAGTAAATTGTTGTGGTTGTCAGCATTTTGCAAAATTCAACAAATTCAAATCTAAACATAAAACATGTTTATATCAGTGCAAGTGCAATTTTTCTTCCAATGTCCAATATGTTTGGAGCATTAGCTATTTTAACATAGTAACAGTATGTTATTATCTCCTTGTGTAAATGATTATTTATTTATTCCGATAGTAGTGCCTCAGATTTAAATTGTAATCAGTCCATAACATAAATGCGTGATATGAAAGTGATTGCATGCCAAGGGAATGGGACGACTGTTTACTCATCAAACACAGACGGTCCATAAAGCCACTTCTACTGTTTGTATGAGCAAACATGCTCTTTGCCCTAGAAACTGCATCAGTATGATCATAAGACACGTGCATCATTGTGGAACTAAAACAAGCAAGACTGATGATTGTAATGAATTAGTTTATTTTCTTAATATAGATGCAATGACATGAGCATTGCTTTCTGTGAATATTTAAGTAAGAATGAGATTCATTTTCTCTGGGTTCAGCTCTTGACCCTTTAGAGTTAATGACATGAATTAAACGGACACAATTAAAAACACGATTTATTGGTTTATAATATATTTTATTGAAAAATGCTTTAAAATTAAATAAATTCAACATCATTTCAGTTTAAAAGTCTAATATAAATCATCAGTGTTATACAAAATATAGAATCATAGAAAAATAAAGAAAATGATTATATATTTAAATAGACACAGAATGGCTTCTGTCATCAGCAAGTATTTACAACATAATATATTTGAACACAGCAAAGGTAATGAAAGTAAGCAGATGGATTTCTGTAGGACTGATTACACTTTAGATCATGCTCACTTTAGCTGTAAGTACAGTAAAAAAAAAAAAGCCCGCCTCTAGCAAAGTTTGCACTGAAACTACAGGAAGGGTGATAAAGTGCTTGTATTAGTGGTGCTGCAGTGGCACTAACATGTCACAATAATCCCTGGGACAGGAGAAACTGGAAGATATAAAAAGGGTAAACTACTAAAAAAAAAATAAAAAAAATAAAAAATAAAAATGTACATCCCATAAATAGAAAATAATATGATCATGTTCAGCCAAGAAAAGCTTTGTCACCATGATTTGAACCAACAGAGAAATAGTTGCCACAAGGTCCTGATTTAAGGTTACTGACATGTTCAGCAACTGAGAAACACCTTTTTATGAATTATGTAAAGCTGTATTGTAAGCAATTTTATGTTTTTTTTTTACCTCTAACTTACCCAAAAACTTAAAATTACAAAATAAGGCAAGCAATGAATGAACAATAAATGAACATGTGTGTTCAGATACCATAACAAACAATTTTACCACCAGCATGCTTTAAATTAAACTATTCCCATTGAGGTTGTTATATTTTTTAACAGCATATACTTCCAAATATGGTACTCTGGTTCAATAACCCAAAAATAATGACAATCTCAAAAGAGGGTATTGTAGAGTCAATAAAACATTCTAGCAAGCAGAGACAGCTTTATCATCTATTACTGGAAATATACTAAATTTACATCACCTCTGAAAACTTTAGACTTTGAAAGCTATAATTGCCAACGTGCATCAGCACATGCTCATTGACCCACCTCCCTCGCAGACCTTCACATTGCGAGGCCCTGAGGCAATAACTAAATGTTTGTTCATGCTGAGAGATGACCTTGGGTTCATAAACTGTCAAAGCCACCTAGCTCATTAGAAACTTGTGTAAAGAATACAGTGAATATGTTGTTCAAATGTATGTTATGGCTGGCTGCCCACAGTCAGGACCCAGGCAGATTTTTCCTGCTCTAACCTCTACATCTTTGTATGTATCTCGGCATCTATGCATACAAATGTAAAGCATATTTTGATTTCGTCTTTTCAACGGTGGGAGTTCACATTTCATAAATCTAAAGAGAGATTCTTGAAATTGTCTTAAATGTGTTCAAAATTCCTGCAAGACTTCAGTATGCATTTAGAAAAAAATTAACAAATTTTGCCATCAGTGCTTGAATATAAAGAACACAACCAAATAGTTAGCTGTCTCTTCACAGCCTAAGAGGATGAAAGGACTTGAAGAAAGAAGCAATAAAATAAAGATTTCTAAAGGAATATTGTATCTTAACTAGTCTGCCTACAAGCCAGACCTGAAAAGCAGTAAAAAAAAAAAAAAAAACATCAAGCACATAAACAAAAAACAACTAAATAAGAAAAAATAAAAATCAAATGACGCTAAGATAAAAATAAAAATTGTATTATATGTCCCTGCCACAATTTTTGGGAAATGATATTGTGGATTTGCTTGTTTCTTCTTTACTGCAGACAAGATAAAAAAAGACAATTTACTGAGTCTTTTAAATAAAACAAAAGTAACAAAAAACTTTTGAATCAATCTGGCATATTTGTATACTATCCAAGTAAATGGTGGAACATTTTTTATCTGGATTTTTACTTAGGAAATTAAAAAATTCTGATTATTAATATAATTAGTTTTTTGCGAGACAGATTTGTTTTCCCAATCATTGTCCCTGCAGTACTATTTATTGCTCTATCTAGCTAACCTAAAAAAAAATTTCAAATTCTGCAAATATATATGTATTTTTTTATTTGTATTAAAAAACATACAAAAAAACTGTTTACTGTAAACCCTTTGACAAAGCATTTTGTTTCTTAAAATCTCTAAAACAATTACAAATAATACCATAATTTATACACAGGGATTCAGTTTTAAAAAATACACAAAAATGTTACAATATAGGCATTCAGTGTCTTTGGTTATATTTATCATGTTCTATTTTATCCACATGTGAAAATCTCCTACTACTGTAAGGAGTCCAAAGCAAACAGCCCTCTTTAATTTTTCAGTCTTTAATATATGCGTATTTCAGATTGCCTCTAATGCAATTGTTTATGTGCATCCGCAGGACTCAACTATCATGTCAGGGACGTCTGTTTTGACGATGCTGTGCTGAGAGTTGAAGTAGACCATGGACAGAGGCCGGCGCTCAGTGGGGATGCAGCATGAAGCTGTGGCTGTGTTGATGCCATTGACTTTAAGCTGGCTGAAGACCGTAGCATGGAAAGAGGATGCTATGCCCGGGGAGCCGGCTAGATGCTGGGGGCACTGACCCATGCAGTAGTTCATGTGGTAGCCTTCAGGTGCAATGATCCACTCATCCCACTGGATATCCTTAAACTTGATGTAGAAGTCTCTCTTGCAGCACACTGTCACTTCATCTCCACAGCGCAGTGATCGCTTTCTGATTAAGTGCTTGGAGTGGTCATCACGCAGACGCACCTGTGCCACCATGAAGGGCTGGTTTGCTTTGTCAGTTGAGCCATTAAAGGAGCAAAGGTTCCTTTCACCCTCTTCGCAGCTGACCTCAAGTCGGAGTCGCCGCTGACCTCCGTCCAAAAAGGTCTGCAGCGTGTGGGTGATGGGGAAGGTATGCCAGTTGCTCTCCTTAACCTCCAGCATCTTTTCTATCACCAGGGTGCGATTAGAGCCTGAAGTCTCTTCATCTGCCGAGAAGAAGACCCGGGCAAGAAGGCGGGAGCTCCGGTGAGGATCTTCAGAAGATTTGGCATAAATCCACAGAGAGGAGTGAAGGACCTGGATGCTCTTGCCCCGTTCCTGCAGAAACTGAAAGGTAAGGCTAAGGCTGGCCTTGTCACCGCTGTCTGAATCATCTATGAAACAATGACAATTTAAAAACAAACACAAACTGTTAATATTTTGAACATTTGAAGAGGTTGTCACCTTAAAGCCAAAATGGAATGTGCTGAAATGATTACAAGATAGAGCTATTAAGTCCACTTTCTCTACATGAAGGTCAGGCTTGTTTTTTTTTTAACCTTTACCTTTTATTTTTGTAATAGTTTAATCTGGCATGAAGAAATGATTCTACTGGAGCTCTTTAGCTCTTAGATTGTCTTACATTGATCCACTTTCAAGCACTTGGCTTTTGGTGCATCTGCATTTTCTTCAAAAACTTTGATGTAGCATTCAATATACACATTTTAATCCCAATGATTCCTATATGTTTAAAGGGTTATGTAGTTTATTAAGTTATTTCTTCAGCTTTCCAGACTTGCTTGGCCATCAAGCATCCTAGTTATTAGTAAGTCGGGTGCCTTTAAAATGAGCCTTTTCTTTTAAAATATTTCCACATGCCTTTATAACCGCACAGGCTTCGACCTATTTTAATGTTTCAAATCCAAAAACCACTACGAAATCTTCAGGAGCATTGAAGGGGGCGTGGTGTTTATCTAAAATCAAAATTCATCTCAATGGGCATTTTGCGCAGGAATAATCTAACTTCCCTGTATATGAATATGTATATTCGGACATAATGGGATTTCAGTCATTTCTCAGAGGAGTATAAGAATTCAAAATAATAAAATAATAATCATAGAACACCGACCCATGCACTATTTTATGCACGAACGTTTGCAAAAGGTGCGCTCATGCAAAGTGTTTAAAAGTCATGGCAGAAAAGATTTACAATATGAAAAATAAAAGAAAAACTTACTTATATCTGCAAAGCTCACTATTTCATAGCCTTGATCTTTGGTAGGTAAACTGTTTTCTAGTTCAAGGGTACCATCCTGTCTGACGCGCCCCGAGTGCAGTTTGCGCAGCGCAGTTAGAAGCGCCACTTTAGGCACCGTCTGAGTGATGTTCGGTCTCTCTTTCAGGTGGAGCTTTTCCAAAAGTTGCTGTTTGGCGATCTCTATCATGATCTTCTCCTCTGCATCTTTCTCCATTGCCGGTAAGCCACAGGACGCGCAGGCTGGGGAGCCGCTGACCCGGAGCCCCTTCAGCAGCAAAGTTGCCAACAGCAGCAGTGAAATAAGTGAAACAGACGGCGTCATCCTCCAGCATAAAGAAAAGTTCTGCATTTTTTTGTCGTTGGAGTAAGTTTACTAATAAAAGAAAAATCTTCTAAAATCTTTCCACTGAGTGCTTCTTTCCACCCAGTGTTGTCAGAGGTTCTTGCTGGCAGCTGTGACAGTCAGGACAGAAGCTGGAAAGCAGACTGGCGTCTCACCCTCCTGATGCTGCAGATATGTAGGGTAATCCACCAAAACTGGTGACACGTTGGAGAGACGCACCAATGAGCGCATCAGGGCACCGGGGAAATTACGCATCAGAGTGTCCTCTCCCACAACACGGACAATCACACACGCACGCGCTCACACGTTGGCAGTCGATTACTTTTTCTCAACTTTGTGACAGCCTGATCTCATTTTATGGCACCATAATAAATGCGTAAAGTTACGCATTTATCAGATCCTTCTTCGTGGACAAGGATCTGATCTTATTTCTGTGCCACGTTGCGCTCTTTGGCGCGACCGCAACATCTGAAGCGTTCAAAGTTGCAAATCTTTGCCCTTTAACCTAATTTACGAATGGTACCCGAGAAGCACAATCAGCGTAGTTCAACATGTGAGAAAGGGCTGGGCTCTGTGAAAGAGGGGGCGGCATTTAAAAAACAGGTTCCGTCATGTTGTGTTCACGGTCACAGGACAAGGAAGCCGTGCAGCAAAGAGGGCGCCTTACTCGTGTCTCTGCTGTGTGACGAAGTGGAAAAAAGCACAGCAGAACAATAACTCCGTCAAGCTGCTACAAGTTCTCTCAACCTGGGTTCTGGTGATGTCTGCCAAACAGTAACCAACAACTTTGGAAAAATGTTTAGATCAAATAATGTGCTACACGTGATTTTCAGTATGTTAGTAGCACAATTTCTCCGTTACATAAGCCAAAAAATACTTGCAAACAGTTATTCATAAAGTAGGCCAATGTGTAATGCTCAAATATGATGTGGCAGTTGCGTCCTTTGATACTTGAACCCATTTCGTTGTGCAAAGCTAGTAATATTATATACACAAGAAAGAGGTACAACTTTGACTGTTTCCAAATAAATTCTAAGATGGCTTTAAATTTCCATTTAATGTTTTCACCTCAAGGCGAAACAGTGAATTTTGGGGGGAAATTATTCTCAAGTCTCTGACACATGATTAGGCGACTTGCCTGCCGACATGTGGGCAATAGGAAGTACTACAACTAAATCCACTGGTTGTCCAAAGTGTAATAAAAGATTGAAAATGATGAAAAGTTTAAATAATAAAAACCATGTTCTGAAACATAGTTATGTTACAAATTGGTCAAATTATAAGTTTACTTTAAATTCTCATCTGTCAGGGTTATGAATAATTTTTAATTTAAGAGTTGTTTCCTAGGGGGTGTTTTAATATATATTTTAATTCTTGCAACAAATTCCCAATTGAGGTAGGTCTGGACTTTATTTATAACACAGATTAAATTATTTCACAATCTCTTTTTTTCAAATGATTAGGGTATTTTTTTTTTACAGGTTGAAATTATGGAACACCAAAAATTAAATAAAACCATAGAAAATTGGGTGAATATGTGTGTTCAACTAATATTTGTCAATTGAACAAGATTGGTGAGTGAAAAAATGAAGTGGAACTTCTTCCACTTCATCACAATTCCAAATCTGATCAAAATTTGACAGAGTTGGATGTTCCAACAGAGTGATGACCCCAAAACATGTCAAAACTGGTTTTACATATAATAACAAAAGGTGACATTGAGCTGCTGGAATGGTGCTAACCTCAAAACTATTGTAAATGCAATGAGTATTCTTAAGAGCTGCTCCACCCATACCATAAAACCTGATCTACCCTTGGATCTACCATTCATACCAAGAAAGAACCTGCCAGAATTATGAAAGAAGTATGATGCTTGACACAAAAAATGTTTTTCTTAGACGTGTCAAGCAACATTTCCACAAGAATAGGTGAGGCTATCTGTTATTAAATATTGACACACACTTTATAAAAGGGATGACTTTTTTTCTCTTTGCCTGAGATTATACCAGATTTTTTGTTTTAGGTCAGAGGATTACCAAATGTTTATACAATATACTGTAGAATAAATACAAGTAGCCGTTATTTCTGTTGTGATGCTAATGAAAACTCAACATCTGAAATTAGTATATTACATCAGACAAACAAAAATCAGACAAATGTGCCTCATTGGAATCAGTATTCTAATGTATTGAATATGACTAAACATCTCCATAGAATTTCTTAGAATAGCCTTTGAAATTTGACCTTTTGATCTGGGTCACACATTTGCCTTCACAGTCCTCTCATTGATTGCTCATACACACCTTTTCAACTCTGTTCACAACTTTTCAATGGAACTGAGATCAGGGCTTTGAAATCCCTCTCCCATACCTGAGTCAATGTCAATTTGAAAGAAGTTTCTTGTTTGTTTACTGGTTGATATGGTGGGCTAAAATGCACTTTCTTGCATTGGAAAATTGCACACACACACACACACACACACACACACACACACACACACACACACACACACACACCCACACACACACACACACACACACACACACACACACACACACACACACACACACAAAAAAACATCTCTCCTTGGTGTTTTCTCTGTTTTATTTTTTATGTTGTCAAAACTTGCATCCTATTCAGGTGTTTTAAGAATATATTCTGCCATTTAAAGCATATTGTCACTGCCCTAAAAAATAATGACTTAGGTCATTATGTTACTCTTAAGTTCGTCTTAAAATTAAAAAAAAATGTTGAGCATCTTTTTCTTTTATGTTGGCACTGCACTTATTGATAAAATAATATTTAAACATACAAGTGTTAACCTGAAAAAGTTATGACAGGGCTGAATGACAGGCTTTGACTTTGACACAAAGGTATCGAAGGGAGTAACTCTTCATATCACCCTGGAACCCAGAAAACAGCAGAACCTGACAGTTGCACCAAACCCTCAATACCACCTATTACCCAATCAGAGGTGGGAGTCATGCACAGGAAAACTACTCAACCACCCAAGTACTGTTTGATCTTTAATTATTCAGGGATGTAGCAAATAGAAATAATTTTGGTAATCATAACTGGCCTAAAACTGAAAAGGCTAAGTATGAGAACTGGTCCAGAAGAATTGGTCCTGGCTCCT